ACTAGCCAAGTATTTGAATGCTGAGCAGCAAGCTCATTGGCTGCTGATATAAAAAGAACCAATCAGCTGCGCCATGTGATAATGATGTCATTATGTCAGATTGAGTTTGACCTATTGGACTACTGCGCCATCTAGAGTTTCATGACAGAACCTTGGGTATATACACTGTATTTCAGAATGAAGTGCAGCACTGTTTTCTTATATATGCAAGCAGATCATGATCCAGGTTTTCAGTGTCTCGGATCGGCTCAGTTTGCAGTAAATGCTGCTCCACACAAACTCATATCTACATCTGCAGAGTTTGGAGAGAAAACACAACATGTGCGACCATCTTTCCAGAAGCACTTATAAAATAAAACTGTGAAGCTTTAAGAGCTCCCTGCAATTTTTCACCAAAACAAAAGCTCTATGGTTTAATGTTTGAAAATGAAGGAATGAAGACAACTTTTTAAATTTAATTATAATAATAATAATGATGATGATGATGCATATTTCCCCCCAAATCATGCATCCTGACTTACTTTATTTTGTGGAACACAGAAGAATTTGAAATGTAATTATTTTCCATGCAGTTGCAATAAAAAAAGTAATTAAAAAAAGCAAAAATTACCATAAATTAAAATAAAGGTAAATGTAGCATAAGTGGCTGGTTTACTATATTTTCAGTACGCTAAAGCCAATAATTTAAATTAAAAAGTTCATTTAAAAAAGGTACAAATCCAATCACTCCTCAGCGCTGAAAGTGAACACTCCATGGTGATTGGCTAATTTTTTTTACCAACGGAGGCACGAGAGCTCACCGCTCCCCGGGCCTCCCCCTACCCTTCTCTATCATTAGCGGTTGCAATTACATCAGCAGATTCGGCACATTCGCGATAGAAAAGCGGCGCTTTCACGTTATGGTATTACAACTGTGAAATTACAAACAAAAAAATACACATTCTGAGACATGAACTGAAATGAATTGTGAATTTTATTAACATTAAATCGTCCTCCTCCCATTTTCACCTCAAAATTATGGGGAAGCTGTGCCTCCCCTGCCTCCCCCGACGAGCCGCCACTGCAATCAATGCCAACTTTAAAGAAAGTAGCAGACTGTCTCATTATCTGATTTGTAAACAAATTGTTCTTTTGAGTCTGATCTTTTCAATTAATCATTTGATTCAGTTCACAAAACAGGTCTAAATGAGTTGCTCACGAATCAGACTAATTAATTTCTCAATTTTACTGACTCACTGCGATTAACTGCCCTCAGCAAGGACATTAGTGAATAACTATGTCTGCATATGTACAATATAGTGCACAAGTCATTTGGACTGCTATTATCGTGCTTTTGCACCCTGTTTGAAGCTTTAAAGGCTTTGTCCTCAATCACTGTAATTGCATAGAAATGTGTGGCCTGGAAGAAAAAAATCAAAAAACTTTTTCCCTTTGCACTCCACTGAAGAAAAAGTCATATTTGGAATGATATAAGTGTGAACAAATGATGACAGAATTTACATTTTTGGGTGAACTGTTCCTTTAAACATGGAGAGGGGTTTTCAACAGCCATGAGAACTTAAAGTCCATGCCGCATTGCTTCACACTAATTTCCCCAGCATCTCTTCTTACTACTGCTGAATTATTAGTAGCTCTGGTTTAGATTATGTGCTGTAGAGTTGTAGGGTCGTCTGTGAAGGCGTAAGAGTGGTGTCGTAATTCAGCAGGCGGTGGGATGGTTGGTGGGTGGCTTAAGTGCAGAACTGTAGCTGCTTTTTACCGAATGTTAAGTGGGCATTGAAATTCAAAGCATCCCGCCACTTTGTGTAGCATTTATTAACATCAGCTAAATCATCAGTGAGGGGAAATAGTGAAACCAATCCAATTGAAACTGCTAAAATGCTGTTATTAAAATTGTTTTCTGTTCTCAAAGCATGATTTCTACAATTCCTCTGTATGGCATCAATTCAGAAAACAATATGCAGAGTGCCTTCTAAGATACCTTTTATTAGCCAGTTGCTGTATCATTGCAAATGATTTACTAATAAGCTATGCAGCCTGAATTTCACATGCCTTTGCATTCTGAAATGGTTCTTGAAATGTCTTCTATGACCAGTTCTCTGACGTCAAATAGTCTCTGAAGATGAAATGTTGGTTGAAGTGAATGTTGGCTTGAACTGGATTTGTTAGAAATAAAAAAAGGTTTATAGGTCTTACAAACAGATAGATGAATAGGTAGACAGAAATATAGATGGACGGATGGACAGACAGACAGGTAAATAGACGCATTGATAAATGGGACCTACAGATGGACGAAAAGACAGTCAGACAGACAGACAGACAGACAGAGATAGATAGACAGACAGACAGACGGACAGACAGATAGATGGACATACAGACAGATAGATGAACAGGCAGACAGACAGACAGACGGACGGACAGACAGACAGAGTTATGGACAGACAGAAAGACAGACAGACAGACAGACAGACAGACAGACGAACAGACAAACAGACAGATAGATGGACAGACAAACAGACAAACAGACAGATAGATGGACAGATGAACAGACAGACAGACGGACAGACAGACAGATAGATGGACAGACAGATAGATGGACAGACAGACAGATGAACAGACAGACAGACGGACAGACAGACAGACAGACAGACAGATGGACAGACAGACAGGCAGATAGTTGGACAGAGAGATAGTTGGACAGACGGAAAGACAGACAGACAGATGGACAGACAGACAGGCAGATAGTTGGACGGACGGAAAGACAGACAGACAGATGGACAGACAGATGGACAGACAGACAGGCAGATAGTTGGACAGACGGAAAGACGGACAGACGGAAAGACAGACAGACAGATGGACAGAATTGGACAGACAGAAAGACAGACAGACAGACGGACAGACAGACAGGCAGATAGTTGGACAGACAGAAAGACAGACAGACAGACAGATAGAAGGACAGACAGAAAGACAGACAGACAGACAGGCAGATAGTTGGACAGACGGACAGACAGACAGACGGACAGACAGACAGGCAGATAG